AAAAAACCTCTTGAGTTGAATATAGTGAATAGACAAAGAATTCTAAAGCCAGAAAGACTATTTTAAAAAGATACAATTCAGTTATTTCCATTATTGACTAGCAAATTGAGGTGTAAAGAGGCCAAAGTTGGTTCTAGCAGTATTCTTTGGCTCTATTTGTTCATGTTTATTGCTCTCCAGTTGCTACTAGTACAGGCACTTGGTAAAGCACAGACCAGGCTGTGCTCTCTTTGAATTCACCGAGCGCCTTTCCTCCAAAAAACAGCAAGTCTCAGGTGTCATGTGTAAAACTGCTTTGTCAACTAAAAAACTTTTTTAAAACACTGTTATCACCATAAACTGGGATGACATTTGCATCTCAATTTTCTGAAGTCACATCTAGGAAAAGTTAAGGGCTTGTGAGTATGAAAACTTTATTTAATAAGATTTCTAGTGTGCATTCTCACTGAAAGGAGTTCAATCAACACCTCCATAGGTTGCACAATTTAAAAATTCTCACACTTATCAAAAAGCCCCAGAACTTTTAGGAGGGAAAAAACAAGGTGGGTATCACGTGCTTGGATGAAGTGTTACTCCTGTCAGCTCCCTGGATCACTCGTGAATCCATTGTTTTGGGGGAAACAGACTTTTTTTTCACTTTAAACTAGAAGAAAACTCACTTTCTGAATACTCTGAGCATCTTCCCTCTCCCTTTTGTTTATTTATTTTGTTTTTGATTCATATTAAGCCAAGCCTCTCCCTGGCCTTGTCTCCAATTTTGACATACTCTGCCTTTAGGTCCAGGAATTTCTAGAATTAATGTTATGGCTGTGCAGTGTTCTCCAGGTATACCATTCCATACAAGCAATGAAAAATACTATATGGAGCTCCTCAGTCTTTTCTATCTGACAGTCACCCAAAGGATACTGCCTACACTGCTTTCCTTTATTTAAAATGAAAGGTAAATTTTGCTATTAAGAAATGGAGTGGAATTGGGCTGGGCACAGTAGCTCATGCCTGTAATCCCAGCACTTTGGGAGCCTGAGGTTGGTGGATCACCTGAGGTTAGAAGTTTGAGGCCAGACTGACCAACATGGTGAAACCCCATCTCTACCAAAAGTACAAAAATTAGTGTGGGCATGGTGGTGGGTGCCTATAATCCCAGCTACTTGGGGGGCTGAGGTGGGAGAATCACTTAATCATTTGAACCTGGGAGGTGGAGGTTGCAGTGAACCGAGATCGCACCATTACACTCCAGCCTGGGCAACAGAGCAAGACTCCGTCAAGAAAGAAAGAGAGAGAGGAAGGAAGGAAGGAAGGAAGGAAGGAAGGAAGGAAGGAAGGAAGGAAGGGAGGGAGGGAGGGAGAGAATGAATGAAAGAAAGAGAAAGGAAAGAATGAAAGAAAGAGAGAGAAAGAGAGAGAGAAAGAGAGAGAGAAAGAAGGAAAGAGAGAAGGAGAGAAGAGAGAAAGAGAGAAAGAAAGGAAGGAAAAGAGAGAAAAGAGAGAAAGAGTGGAATTGTACTAACCTCTCCTGTCTCTCATCTGATCACATAGACACTGAAGAGGTTCTATGCTACTGTCATCTAATGTTAGTTTAGATTTAGACGATTCATTGAGAGGAGGCAATGAGAGTGAAGACAATCCTGGTTATCTTTCAAGCTGGCTGAGCTCAACTTAGTACTTCCAGGACCTGAAATCCGTCTGCCATTTTTCAGCAGAGCCACAACATCCTGGTATAACATGAGCATAACATAGGCTACAGAGATTCCACCTGATGCTAGGGTAGGATCCCACAGGATGAAGGGAAGAGATCTGACCTAAAGATGAGGGGAAAATTGAGTGAATATTTTTAACCTTAGCCACTGAATCAGGAACCAAAGCAGAAAGCAGGGGGAAAATGAATCCAGATAATATCATTCATTCTCAATTTAAAATAAATTTTAGAAAGAGTTTGCTAAGAACAGAAATTGTCACCAAGAGTGTTGGAGTCAGGCTAGCTGTAGTTTGTGACTGGTCTGACAAAGGCTAACTCTTACCCAGCTGTCCAATAAAAACACTTAAAAAGTATCATTTCCATAAGGCTTTGTCTACTTGAAACACAAGCCAATTGTTTGGGTCCAACTTATGAAGCAAGGTCTTACAAAGGTTATGGGGTGAGGAGGCCTGATGACAACTAAATTGCTTTAAATGGAGCTCAAAATACCACCTTAAATATTCTCCTCTCCCAAGAAATGCTTAGTCATAAATCAAGTAGTTCAAAACGTATTAAAAATGACAAATAGAGCAAGCACTTACATCTCATTTTTTTTCTTTTAATTCACTGATGCATCAAAGATTTCTGAAGGATATTATTACGCACAAAAAAGATGAAGTACACCAGGAATGCAAGATTCCAGGGATAAAAGAGGAGATTAAAAATCAAATGGTGGCCCAGACTTAATGCTAAAAATTATTTTGAAAATAGACATGTGCACTTTGAGACAGGGAGATGAGGACTGTCTGCTCTGAACTTGTAAGGAGTGGCGAATCTCACAATAATTGGACACATGTTTCTCATCTTTGAAAAACTTATGAATCCATTTTAATGTATTAAAGTTCATGGGTACTATTTGTCTACAAGTAGGCTTTCTTCTCTCTCTTCCCACCATGCATTCCTTAATGGGGTTTTGATTTCAATGGGGGAAAAAAATAAAAACGTTCCAAAACTCACTAATGTTTTCTGAATTGCCGTTAGGCTAACTTTAGAAGGAGTTTTTTAAAAATGTGCTAAATGAAACTTTCTGTGCAAGAATCCCTGATATGCCAGTACTTCTAGAAAATAAGTTATTTTTTAATGTGTCCCTTCTGCTGTATGTAGAAATTAATTCTCAGCAATAAGAATTATTAAGTGCCTAACCCAAGATTCAAATTTGTCCTTACCTGGAATAAATCAGAAAGTGGCTCAGGTAGAAAAATCCAGCCTGGCAAATCATAACACACCTCCTTAAAAGACACTGTTTCTGAGCACTTGGATGACCCAGTGTGAAAGGAAGAGCTAACTCTCCGGAACAGTTCTGATTTCTCTCTTCCTTATGATTATAAATACCTAGAGAATTCAACCAATTCCCAAGGCAGTGAGCCTGCCTTTTCTTTATAGCCTTTTTTCAGTCTACTTGGAAACATCTGTTTTTAATTGAATTTGGATTTGAAACTAATTTCAGGAGAGATTGGATTCAGGCTCCAATCAAGTTGGAACAGAGAGATTATTGCTTATACACATATCCTAAAATTCAGGGAGGCTTGAGGCCAAGGATGCCACACTTCCTGAATGCAGGCATAAGGCACATACATTTAGAAATGAAAAAGGAATGGTCTAATTATCTTGGGAAAACCTCTTTAAGACCAATGATTCTGGGTTTTAGGTTTCAGCTTTTAGACAGGATTCGATTTGGGGAAAGGTCAGATAGAGGACATTGCCCTCCCATGCGCTCCCTATCTGGAGCAGAAGATTAAGCATTCATATAATCAAGTTAAAATAAAAACAGAATTTTGGGTTGTTCACTGAAAAGATCATAAATCTACCCTCTCTGCTAATTTGTTTTATTATTATTATTATTTATATAAATTTAAGGGGTAGTCGTGTTGCATGAATATATTGCGTAGTGGTGAAGTTGGGTTTTGAAAGAAATGGAAACACTATCACCTAACCACAATTTTTCTCTGCTAGTCTCTCAATGGCAAGAAGCCCCTTTCTTCCATTCATGCTCGCCTTCCCCTGATTCCCATCTTACTAGAAGGTTGAAGAAGGGGAAATGACTCAAGATTTCCCCTTTGTTCTGTTCTGGGACTCCCTACTGAGCACAGTTGCTCAGGAATCATCCAGACCTTGTTGCTAACTCAGTGTATTCCTAACTGTCTGCTTCAAAGTATTCTATTTTAAATGAGGCTCTTATTTTTCTGCTTCTCAAAAGCATCTTTGGTGAACTTATTAGTGATCTGTCACAAAGTACTGAAAATCATAAAGAGCTGCTAAAGTGCAAGTGGCCATTTTCATTTTCTTTAATGGCTGAGTCCAAAAAATAAAAGTAAAATTCATGCCAAGAATTATTCAGAGATTATTTGATTCTTTGACAATCCATAAAATAAACCTTGGATTCCTCACTTCACAATCAGACTGACAGCTTATGCCAATTTTATCAAGCCTATCATAAATATACACCCCTATGTTTCTTGAAACTCGAAGTACCAATGAGCAAGAGAACACAAAGATATTTCCATTTAACTATATAACTGTGATAAATTTTAGTAATGTATTAGTCAGGGTTCTCTAGAGGGACAGAGCTAATAGGATGTATATATTATATATGAAAAATATAGAATACATGAAATATATAATATATTTTTATTTATATTTCGTATATAATATATATGAAAAATATAAAAAATATATAATATAATATAATATATATATTATATATATAAAGGGGAGTTTACTAAGTATTAACTCACATCATCACAAGGTCCCCCAACGGACTGTCTGCAAACTGAGGAGCAAGGAAACCAGTCCGAGTTCCAGATCTGAAGAACTTGGAGTCCAATGTTCAAGAGCAGGAAGCATCCAGCACAGGAGAAGGGTGTAGGCTGGGAGGCTAGGCCAGTCTCTCCTTTTCACATTTTTCTCCTTGCTTATATTCTAGCTGCGCTGGCAGCTGATTAGATGGTGCCCACCCAGATTAATGGTGGGTCTGCCTTTTGCAGCCCACAGACTGAAATGTTGATCTCCTTTGGCAACACCCTCACAGACACACCCCGGATCAATACTTTGCATCCTTCAATCTAATCAAGTTGACACTCAGTATTAATCATCACAAGTAAGTTTAGATATTGAGAACTAATAGCACCCTCGTATTTGTTTCCCACATACAAATGATAAATGTACTTTTAAACATTATTGCCAATTTTCATTAAATTCATTAACCAGTCATTCTAAATGTATTATTTACCATAAACTATTAATTCATGAGACTCACTTTTGTCAACAAAAGGCAAGGCATCAGTTGTCATTTATTAATTCAAAGTGTTCTCTGTAGAAATTTTCAGAGATGGCATGGCTTTTTCTTAATATCTGCTATTATAATTTAATAAAATTTAATATCTAAGATGTGTTAATTTCAACACTTCTAATCTTGGCCCCACTTTTTTTTTTTTATCAGAAGAACCAAAGAAACCAAGAAATCTTCATCTGAATTTGATCCTCTGCTAGAATAATAATAATCTAGGATACTTTGGGAAAGAGAAGACTTTCCTTATAAATGAATATTTCAAATACAATAATGAAATGGCTATAGCATTAGTTATTTACACTTCTTAGAAGATATATATATATATATATGCACACACACACACTTTTTAGGTGATATATTATCTATACATGTTTATTCTCTAATGGCAATCTGATGGCAAAGACACAAAAGAGTTAAGGAATAAGACTCCAAATGTTGCAATAAGCCAAGGAAGATGATGCACAAAGTAAGTACTCTTGTGACACTTAGCAGCTGGTATCTTTAAAACCACACCAAGTCCGTACGTGCAGTTCCCAATCAATAGTCAATACAAACAGCAGAAATGAAGTTCCTCAGTAAATCTTCAGAACTAACAACAGAAGCAAGGATGACAGTAGTTGTTATTTTCTCTTCCCTATACAATACACAGCTTCACAAATCACCCAAGTTTTAAATTGTATTTTATTATCATAAATATCTTCTGATTGTTAAAAAAAAAAAAGTTTCCTGTACAAATATTGGAAGATGTGGAAAACATGAAGGCTAAAACAATATCACCCATAATCTTAATACTCATGAAATATTCTAATTCATTTGTTTCTTTTTATGCAAGGTACATGACTATACACAGTATACATAATATTTTGTTATATCCTTTTCTCCAGTATTATATATTATAATAATTTTTGCATGTCACTAAAAATTGTTTATCAACATTTTAAAATTGCTTCAGAATATTCCACTGTATTCAGCATTTGAGTGTCCCCAATCTTATAGATGACATTTTTACAAATTCCTCAGTACGTACATATTTTTCCATCTTTCTGGTAATTTCCTTAGAATTGATATCTAGATGTGAAATTCATACTTTTAAGGATGTTGACACAAACTGTCAAAATGTTTTCCAGAAAGACTTTTAAACATCTATTCAGCAGTGTATGCATGTGCAAACAAACCCTATCCTTATCAGCTGTGATTCCTATAATTTCTTTATATTTGCTAATTTGGTGGACTAAAAAGTTGTTATTTTATTTCACATTTATTTAATTCCTAGAGAAGTTAAATTATTTTTCATGTTTTTTTTGTTTGTTTGTTTTTTGTTTTTTTTAGAGAGAAAGTCTCGCTCTGTTGCCCATGTTGGAGTGCAGTGGCGCAATCTCGGCTCACTGCCACCTCCATCTCCTGGGTTCAAGCAATTCTTCTGCCTCAGCCTCCCAAGTATCTGGGACTACAGGCACACACCGCCATGGATGCTGTCACATCCGCCTATTTTTTTTTCTTTGTTTTTTAGTAGAGATGGGGTTTCACCATGTTGCCCAAGCTGGTCTCGAACTCCTGAGCTCAGGCAATCCACCCGCCTTGGCCTCCCAAAATGTTAGGATTACTGGCATGAGCCACTGCCGTTCCTTCTTTTTGAATTATCCATTTTTTGAGTCCTATGTAAATTTTTATATAGGACTGTTTTTTCCTTTTGATTTATGGAAATTCTTACTAAAATTCTGTTCTTTGCCATATGTGCTTCCTATCTGTTTTGTATGTTTTGGTTTTACACCTATATTTGATGTACAGACATATTAAATATTTATAGTTAATTCTATAGATTTTTTCCCTTATCCATTTCTTTTAAGATTCAAAAGTACTAAGATTTAAACATTTAAAATATTATCTATATGTGACAATGATAACAATTATTATCCTTTTAATCATGCAGTCCAGTACTGGATTGGGAGTTAGTAAATGCTAATTTACTGTGAAGCTGCCTCTTGGGATCATTTTTAAGGCAATTCTGAGGGAGAGACTATGATACTCTCCCCTGAAAAAAGTACTGCTTACATGAAGCTTCTTTATTCAATGTCTGTAGTGTACCCTTTTGCAATACTTCATTTCAAAATGTTGACAAACATGTGAGACTATTTTGACCAGATGGAAACTCAAATGAATGAATTAGAGAAAATTACTCTTTCACTCCCATTTAACATTCAGAAATTCAGTTTGAGTTTTCAGTTTCCAGGACCTGTGGTAAATAAAAGAATATACCATTGGAAATTCAAATAAACCATGGGTGGTTGAAAATTCGGAGCGATAAAGTACACATGTACACGTTTGGTCCCTTCTAGGTTGCTACAGTGAAGTATATTAGTTGCAAAGTGCAAGGGAATCATTACTTTTTCACAAGTTGAACACAGGCACAACATCCATGCCAAATGCTTTGTATAATTTATTGTGATTTCATTACACTGGCATTAATATGCAAACCCAGGAAAAGAGATTTAGACAACAATTCCAGCTGATCTAAATTCTGCTGCCTAAACTTAAAGGAGCTTAATAAACAAGCAACAAAAAATTGATCAAGAATAGATTCTTGTGACTGTGACTTCCATATTGTTGGTCCCAAAAGCACTACTCAGAATTCCAAGATCTCTTCTAAAGGTAGACACAAAGTCATAAGAAGCACTTTGATTCATCAGAACGAATAAAGCAAATAACGTACTTACATTTCTATATAGTTGGGGAAATCGAGATCCAAGTAGAATACACAAAATACATAGCCGCAAATAAAGCCTAACATTTCAACTATGCCAACAGTATCTTAAAAGCAGTAACACAAAAAGAGTGATAGTATTAAGGATCAATCTAAACATACATTAGAATCTCAATATTTCGAGGGAAATGGAGGTTCTTTGGATAAAACTAGGGTGGAAGTATTTATTCTCTGCAGCCTTGTTATTTTGGAGGCCAATGAATATTAATCATCTTTCTAGGATGGGTGGTATTCCCTAATCAAGTAGTAACATCATTTATTCATGCATGTGGATATGCTAAGTTGTTTTGAATAATGGCAATTAAGATTTGGAAAAAATAACTTCAGTATAAGTGTATCTATGGGGTTTCCATCTGGATTTCTGGTTCAACCCCACAGAACCCTTTCTCTGCTTGGAATATATAAAAGTACCTGCCTGTAGATGGGCCAAGTGGGCAGTTTCACCAGAACGGGTCTCCCCAGTCTGGGACAAGCCTTTCTGCCCACCAGCCTGCATCCCAAAAGGAGAGAAGGTGCTTTCGGGATTTTCAGGATCTTACTGAGCCCTGGTCAATTCTAATATATTAAAACCACTACCTGCGAAATCCCAAAGGACTGAAGTTTCTTAGAAGTTTTTCTAAAAGTTAACAAAAATTCTTTCTTGTATTTTTTATTGGGAGAACATGGAGAGAGGTGGGGATTGTGCCCTGGCATTCTGTCATTTCATTTTTGAAATAAAATACTTCCTGGACTAACCTCAGCACTTCTACAATATTTTTGTGGAGTTTATAAAATTAACAACAATGAAAAATTCTGCAGAAATATTTCTAAAGTGACCAAAAAATGGATCCATAACAAAGAGTTGATGGGCTTTTCAAATGAAGATTACCTTTTTTGCTTCTGTTGAAGTCTCAGGTTGATTCTTCACCAAAAATAGACTTGGTATTGTCACTGACAGCACAATGCACACTGGCACCCAAGTTACATATAAATTCTGCAGGCTTCTACCCCCTAGTGCTTAAAAACAACCAGGGCAATGGTGAACAACTGCCACAAGCTGCTGAAATGATGTCCAATGGCACACATATTTACTGCAGCTAAATACCACTTATCTAGTATTTAATCTCCAGAATACTTGAGTTTTCAGAATGGTTACACAATAAATGTCATCCAGAAAAAATATGCTGTTTAGTTAGAACTCAAGATCACTAAGTGCATCTGAGAATAGGAAAACCACAGAAAGCAACTGATGGACGGTTGTGATTGGCTGGATCAATTGTAGGAAAGGAAAGTGCTACTTTAATTGCCCAGCTACACATTTACAAGCTCAGTGCATCCATTCTAGTGCTGACAGGCCTTGGGAGGGAACAGCAGACAAGAAAGAAGAACACTGGAGAAATGAAGTAGGACGATAGCACAGAATAGGATCAGAGGAGATTAAAAGTGGTGTCAGTGGCAACAGTAGCCAACAGAAATTAAAGGCAGCAACAGGGAGTGTGATTCAGGCCGCTGAGAGAAGGAGAGAGGAAGCAAAAAGCCCTGAGCTTGAGACAGATAAAAAGCAAAGAGACTATGAAAAACCCAGGCACCACTGGAACATGCCAAGCAGGTTTCCAGAGATGTAGAAGAGCAGTCATTTAATTGACAAACTCTTACTAAACACCTACATTCTTAGCAACCAAGAATGCAAAACTAAATAATTTATGCCCCTACTCCAAGAGACTATAAATTAAGTCATTACATCCTATGGATATTATCTCCTAAATCTGCATCTAGATGACTCAGAGTTTAAATCAGCAGAGCCAGGTCAAGGTACATTTTGGAAAGCTCTCTGAGGAAAAATCAAAAAGCACTTGATCCATAACTGTTAACTATACAGAGCAGAGTGACTCATTCTCCATGGGCAGTGGCTGGCTATATTCTTACTCTATCAGTTAATGATTAAAGCATGAGAACTTCCAGGAGTGATGGTCAAATTGAACACTCTTGTTCAGGAAGCTAGGAAATAGTGGGATGCAGAATCTAAGTAAAAGTGAAAGACAAAACCAAAAACCACAAGCAAACAAACATACAAAAACCTATGTTTAAGTAGAAAACATGTTTCCTTATAAGCCAGACAATCATCTACCACGGGTTGGTAGGGGCAGGATAGGTCCATGCAGCTTTAACCTCTATGTTCTATTTTTAATTTTTTAGTTATGTTTCATCTGTACTAGGGTTAATATCAGCAGACATCAGACACACAGATATCTGACTGCAACATTCTGGCTAAATCATTCCCACTTGTTTAACATAAAAACTGATGAAGCATTTATTTTAAAACATTTGTAGAGTTATAACTGCAAAGGTACAGCTCATGGCTTCTCATATATTACAACCACATGTTAAGACAATAGAATTCAATAAAAAATTACCTTCAGACACACTTTGTATTTGAGGGATTCGCTTTATCCCTCAACATTCCAGGTTGGATAGTCCATTGAGCACATGTTCCTTGGTGAAACTTAATTTTTTTTTGAACTCTGCATTGACCCTAAGTTTAACAGTATTCCAAATTCAGTCTACTTTGCCCACAGAATATATTGCAGCTAAGCAAAACTCTGTTTCAGAAACCTCATAAACTGTGTGAGTTGCTCAATTTAGCCCTGAGGGAGTAAATTGAAGAGAGCTGGCCTGTCATACTGTTTTAGACCTGTCTCTTATACACATCTAGATGTGTATAAGAGACAGTATATATATATATATATATATATATATAAGGTTTGGTGGGGGTAGGGGGCGACACAGGGGAGGAAACTGATTGGGTGTCCTTTAAGTACCAAATGCTTTACTGGAGATTTCCATATCTTTTAAAATTCATTCATTCCACCACTATTCGCCGAATGTCGGCTATGTACTCAGTCTTGAGCAAGACTGAGACAGTCCCTGTTCTTATAGAGCTTATGATTCACATAACACCAATTACACTGTAAATTAGCTTGATACATACCTGATATCACCTTAGGTTGATTTTGAAATCTAATCCCTTTACCAGCTGGCTATGTGACCTCAGTCCAGTTTGTTGATGCCTCAATTTCCTCAATTGTATAAAGGAGTTTGCCATGGAAAATAAGTGAGTTCAATGAGCACATATAAAAGGTCTTTCACCATGCCTGGTACACAACTGGGGGTAATCTTCCTGCCTTCCTCACTCTAGTATCCAGTGGGATTTGTATTTGATTTGTAGATTTGAGTAGCTGTTCTCATCCTTGTAATAGTTACAACCACCAGGGGGCAGTAGAAAAATATGCTCCACACGTCCCAAGGGGAAAAATGGGGCCACTCTCATAGGTACACAGCTAAAAGTAAGTTTCATTGTTGGGCTGGCTCATAAATACACACGTGAAGAAACAAACAGCCATTTAAAAACACAGCAGTCAAAGCAAAAATAAAAATAATAGTATTCAGTTATTCAGGGAATCTATACTGCAGGCCTATTCTGCGCCAGCCTCTGAACATTAAAATAGTGCCTGTCCCATTGGGTGATATGAAGATTAAATAAGTTACAACAGGACTGACAAATGGTAAGCACTTAAAAACTATTTGTGGCTATCATCTTGTGGAGGATATGTTTTTAGATTAGCCACAAGAGAAAAGTGGTACCGCTTATCACCTGGAGAAACCTCTAAAAGCATTTGACTATTCCTGTCAATCTCTCTCGTACCTTTTTCTGATTAATCATTTCTGTTTATTTTCCTATAACATAGATGTGTTAATGTGTCCAATGACACAGACCAATTGGAAAAAAAAGGTAATAACATGGAATCTAAATGTGCCACATCTAAAAATTCTCAAAGGACTCACTTGGATGGTTGAGAGAAATGTTATGTCTTATCAAAATATGCCTTACTCATTAAAAATAACTCAAAGATGCTCTATTGGTTTTTAAATGAGAAAATGTTCTATTACAAATAGAAGTACCGGAATGAACTATTACCAATCTTACATTTTGTTCTTATGATTCTTTAACCTATAGTGCATGAATTGTGAGAGTATGATTATATCCGTGTTCATGTCAAAGATGGCTGTCAAAATCTGGAGTGCTAAATAAGGATGGACATCTATAAATATAAAATCCCAGGCCACCATTATCCAATATATATAGTACAGTGTATGAAAGTGACAAAGTCATTTACATGATTAAATACGTTAACAAAGTATTCTAAAAGCTTACAAATATTCCACTTTATTTTTTCATTTGAATACTATCATAGAAATATTTGCCTATAGCCACTGACTATATTTTTAATCATGACTCTCATTGTAGACTATGTGTCAGCATCAGTGGATTATTGTTCAGTCTTAGTATAGAAAAGAATAAGAATCCCCTAATGGCAACATATCATGTTCAGTTACCTTGAGGCAAGAAAATATTAAAACTGTATGAAGAAAAGGAATTAAAACTGGATGTAGACTTTAAAAATATATCTGAAAACAGACAGGCCTCTATTCTACTATTAAAAATGCCACATTAAGAGGATTGTCAGATACAGAACACTTATGCAATATTTAGAGCATGTCTATACTAAAAAATTATTTGTTGTTTATCTGAAATCCAAATTTACTGGGTGTCCTGTATTTTGTTTGTTAAATTTGTCAACTCTACACATGAAGCTCTCTATGCACACATAACCCAGAACCTTCACTCTTTTGAAGATAAATCTGGAGAAAGTTTTACCTGAATAGGCAGCTGGTTAGTCAGGTAGCAGCCTTTGAAATTTGTCAGGTCTCCACCTATCCAGCAAAGCAGAAAACCCAGAGAGACTGCTTCATCCACTCTTCCATTTCTGTAGGCTACAAAGAGCTGACTGGAAAGTGACAATTGACAAATAAACACGTGGAGAACTTAATGAGCCAACTCAACACCAGATAAAAACAAAACCGATGATGTACAGCAATAAAACATCTCATTCACTCCCAGTTAAGCCTCTAGGATTCTTTTTAACCTGTCTTCATTCACAGCACACAGCAAAAATATCTAAAACCTAAAAGAAGCTCAGTGACAATACTAAAATATTAATGCCTCCTATCTCTGCCTTTTCTTTTATCTTTCCCATTGGAATTTATATATATGTCCTAAGCACATGTTTATTCTTTCTTGGCCTCATAATGGGGGAAGATATTAAGTCATGTAATTAGAGATACTAGATATATCACTAAAATGTAAGAATAGAGGTTCAAAATGTTTATCAGTGATTACATTCTCAGCCAGTACCTATTTTTTCTTTTAAATTTACTTCTAATCAAGTTGCCCACATGCAGGTGGACAGGTGGACAAATAGCAAAATCAATGTGAAAATCTATTTGGCTCCCTACGATGCCACCTCTTATGTGGAAAAGTTTTTAAAAATCTTGGGTCCTGGGATCCAAAAGACCTGAAGACATGGCTTGTCACCTGTGGGACATCAGACAATTACTTAATCTCTCAGAATCTTACTTTCCATATCATAAAGTAAGATTAAGTTTTTAAACCAGAAGTGTTGATTGCAGGAAGTTGACCAAGGTTTGAAATGGGTGGCCCCACTTGAGGCTAAATGATGTCCATAAGCCACCAGTGGTAGAACTGGGAATCAACCTAAATCTCCTGACTCCAAGTTTATAATCTTTCACTACCACATATACTACCTAAAAGTTAATATTTCCGGAATTCACATCGGAGACCATAATCCCACTCACATCAATGCTGAGTTATTCCTCCATTAAGCGGTGGTGAATGGTATATATATCAATGTGGTTTTCAAAAGACTTTTTGTTATGTTTCAGATTTCCAAAGCATCTGAGGACTGACTGTATTCTCTACCTTTCCCCAGTATTTTATAAACAGATGACCTATCTAGGCACACATATTTTACAAATTCCTTTGAAGCAGACCTCTTTTGCTTGATATTTTTTTTTCTAGGGTAGATATAGTTGGTATCTGACTTCTAATTATAAATAAACTTAGCAAGAATGGAAAACTTTCCCCTGTAGGACTAAACTGCTTGGATTTTTTTTTTTGAAAATTATCCCCATGCCCACAAGAAAAGAATAGCGTAATGTAATATCTCACCAAAGACTACTTAAATTTTTGCTCTTATCAAAAAACATATTGAAAAGGAATTCAACATAGGACAGTGAAGAGGTAAGGTACATATGCTTTATTGCCTTTCTGATTACTAAATATAAAAGATTTGTATATCTTAATTAAGAAAAAAGTAGTCAGTATAACGTATTAACAACCTTTCTGTTATATTCCAAAATGTTTTAGAGTGATGCTTTTTAGCACCTTCAAAATATAAAATACAAAGAGAACATTTGTTCAATAGCAAGCCCAAGTAGTTTGAAAAAATACTTAATATAAAAATATTTAAATTTTTTTAAAATAAGAAATTATGAACAAGAGTGTTACACTATAGATTTGAAATCCAAGATTCTTAACTTACGGGAGAGCAACAGACAGAAAACAGGCAATAGAAACTAATTCTATAATCATGCTCCAGTATTCCCAGGAGTTGGACACACATCTTGCAGGAGATGCCAAATCCATATGGTCCCAGTCGCACAAATCTTCCTGTCCTCTACTGAGGAGATACACAGTTGCACCTGTGATTCTATAATTAAAGTCTGGATGGTTGATGTTGCTGGTTCTCGGAAAGTGCAATTTAATGTCAGAATGAATATTTCTTTTTAAAATAATGCTTTGATTCATACTAAAGTTTGGCTACAAATTGTTTTAAAATCTGTAAAAATTAAATATAAATAAATAAATATTGTGTAATATTTTTTCTTAGAAAACTTTGTTGAAAGAAATTAAAGAAGACTTAAATAAATGGGAAGACATTCCATATTCATGGATTGGGAGACTTAATATTGTAAAGATGGCAAAACTGCCCAAAGTAATCTACAGATTTAATGCAGTTCTTATTAAAATTCCAACTGCCTCTTTTCCAAAACTGCACAAGTTGATCCTAAAATTCATACAGAATTGCTAAGAATACCAAATAGTCTAAACAACTCTGAATGAAGAGAATAAAGTTAGAGAACTAATACTTTTGAATTTCAAAATGTGTGACAAAGACAGTAATCAAAACAGTGTGGTAATGGCATTAGAAAAGACATATAGATAAATAGAATAGAATGGAGCATCCAAAAATAAAAACATACATCTATGGTCAATTGATTTTGACAAGGGAGCCAAGACCATTCAATAAGGAAAGAATACTTTTATCAACAAATAGCAGTGGGACAACTGGATAACTACATGCAAAAGAATGAAGTTGAACTCTTACCTCACACCATATACAAAAATTAACTCAAAATAGAAAAAAGCTTAAATTTGAGAATCTATATAACTCTGTAAAATCTAGAAAACATAGGGATAAATATGTATGAGCTTGGATTTGGCAACAGATTCTTAGACATGACCCCAAAAGCACAAGCAACAAAAGAAAATATAAATTAGACTTCATCAAAATTTAGAAACTTTCGTGCATCAGAGAACATTATAAAGAAAAGTGAAGAGCCAACCCACAGAATGAATAAGACCTAGTATTTGATATACAACAGGGTGGCTATAGTCAACAATAATTTAATTGTACATTTTGTAATAACTGAAAGAGTATAATTGGATTGTTTATAACATAAATGATAAATGCTTGAGGATATGGATACCTCATTTTTCATGACATGATTATTATTTATTGCATACCTGTATCAAAATACCTCATGTACCCCATAAACATATACATCAATTATGTACATCAATTAAGTAAAAAATAATACAAATTTAAAAATTTTTAAAAGATCACAATGAGACACAATATAATATGTCAAAAGTCAAAGACAAAAAATGAATTTTGAAAACAGCAAGAGAAAAGAGTCATGTCCAAGGGAGCCCCCTGAGACTATCAGTGGATTTCTCAACAGAAACCTTGCAGGCCAGAAGGAAGTGGGATGATATATTCAAAGTACCAAAAGGTTAAAACTTCCGACTAAGAATAGTCTATCTGACAAGGTGTCCTTCAGAAATGAAGGAGAAAGAAAGACTTTCCCAGATAAACTAAAGCTGAAATAATTCATCATCATTAGACCTGCCTCACAAGAAACACTACGGAGAGTCCTTCAAGTTGAAATAAAAGGATGCTAGAAAGCAACATGAAAGAATATGGAAGTATAATACTCATAGGAAAAAGGTAAATATATAGACAAATGCAGAATACTGAAATACTGTAATGATGGTGATAACATTTAACTCTGGTATTTAATTTAAAAATAAATATAACTACAAAATGTTAATAGATACACAATATAAAAAGATGTGACTTGGGAAATCAATAATCTAAAGTGTGTGGGGTAGTAGAAGAAAGAAAATACAGTATTTGTATGCAATTGATGTTAAGGCTGTCATCAACATAAAATAGATTGTCATAAATATAAGATAATTTATGTAAGTCCCATGGTAACCACAAAGAAAACATCTATAAAAAATACAGAAGGGAAAATAATCAAAATGTGCCACTCAAAAAATAAAATCAATGAAAGACAAAGGAAGATAGGAGAAAAGGGACAAAAATGTACAAGATAAACATAAAATAATTAATATAATGTTAATAATAAGTACTTTACTATCAGTAATTACTTTAAATATAAATGGATTAAACTCCTCAAATAAGCCATAAAGTGGCTGAATGGATTTTGAAAAAATATTCAACTGTATGCTGTCTATATGAGACTAACTTCAGATTTAAGGACACACATAGACTGAAAATAAAAGGATGGGAAAAGATATTCTGTTTAAATGGTAATTGAAAAAGACCAGATGTGGCCATAGTTATGTCAGACAAAATAGGATTTAAGTCAAAAACTGTCATAAGAGACAAAGAAAAACAATATATAATGACAAAGGATGAATTAATCAAGAAAATAGAACAATTATAAGTTTGTATGCACCCAAATCAGAGCATCCAAATATATGAAGCAAACACTGACAGAACTGAAGGGAGAAATACTTGTGCAATAATAGTAGGAGATTTCAATACCCCACTTTCAATAATGGATAGAGCAAACCTGATAAAAGATTAATAAGTGACCAGAAAACTTGAACAAGGCTATAGACCAACTGGACCTAACAGATATGTATAGAACATTCCACCCAAGAGAAGCAGAATCCATATTCTTTTCAAGAGCACACAGAACATCCTCCAGGATGAATCACCTCAGATCACAAGCAAGCCTTAACAAATTTAAGATTGTAATCATACTAAGTATTATTTCCAACTACAATGAAATGTAACTAGAATATAATAGCAGAAGAAAGAACTGAAAAATTCACAAATATGTGGTAACTAACATAATACTGAATAACAATTGAGTCAAAGAATAAACCGAAGGGAAATTAGAAATTACCTTGAGACAAATGAAAATGGAAACACAACATGCCAAAATTTATGGGATGCAGTAAAATCAGTACTAAGAAAGAACTTTATAGCAGTATATACCTACATTTAAAAAATCTCAAATAAACAGCTTAACTTTACACCTCAAAAAAAAAATTAGAAAAAGAAGAACAAATAAAGCCCCAAGTTAGCAGAAGGATGAAAATAATAACAATTAGGGAAAAATAAATAAAATAAGAGAATAGAATAACAGTAAGAAAAAAATCAACAAAACTAAGGATTTCTTAAAAAGATTAACAAAATTGACAAACTCTTACTTAGCAAGACTATAAAAAATGAGAAAACTTAAATAAATGAACTAAAAAATAAAAGACATTGCAACTGATGTCACAGAGATTTAAAAGGATTATGAAACACTACTATGAACAATTATATG